AAATACCTTTTTTAGACAACATAACAGAGGACTATACACATGGACCTCACCAGATGGAATACATAGAAAACAAATTGACTACATCTGCGGAAAGAGACGATGGAAAAGCTCCATATCATCAGTGAAGAAAACAAGGCCAGGGGCAGACTGTGGAACAGACCATCAATTACTCATATGCAAATTCAAACTGAAGCTGAAGAAAATGAAAACAAGTCCACGAGAGCCAAAATATGACCTTGAATATATCTCACCTGAATTTAGAGATCATCTGAAGAACAGATTTGATACATTAAACACTAAAGACCAAAGACCAGAAGAGCTGTGGGATGACATCAAGAACATCATACATGAAGAAAGCAAAAAGTCATTAACCTACACCTATGGATGCAGTAGCTCAAAAGAGGGAACAAATCCTTACAGCAAGAATCATTCCCACCCCTCCACACACAGAGTAGACAAATAGGCAACTTGGACATTGGCTACCCAAAATGGGGCGGGGGGGCCTACAAAGGCAAGAAGTGACTGGCTTACAAGCTTTCAAGAGGGAATCTAGAGCCAGGGGTCCTCAAGGAAGGCAGAATCTCCAGTGAGTAGTATCCAATCTGCCTACGCGGAGCTGATGAAATGAAATGCAGATGGGTCTCTTGTGACACAATAGTGAATAATTGTTATCAGGACTGATTGTGAGGGCTGGAAATGTAAAAGTAGACGTTTTATAGCAAGGAAGGGAGTGATTAACTTTCCAGTCTAGGAGCAGAGGTCCCTAGGACCATCAACAGAGAAGAGCCGAGAGCGGAACACTACCCAGAGAAGCAGTGATGCCTGAGATGAAGGCAGAGACAATAACGTGGAGTGATGAAGCAGCTGGGGACTTCAGATCCAGAGAAGGAGAGCGACTGTGTGCTGAAGACTGGGAGGGGGAGGGGGTACTGAAGGGGGCAGGCTTGCAGGGTATACCCTTTGGTTGGTTGATGATGCATGGAGGGGATTGTACCCATGGCAATGAAATGATATATGATAGAATGAATGTAAAACTAATGTTCTCCCATATAAACTATCATATAATTCACAATAAAACATTTTAAAAAAAAGACAAGAAAGAAGGAAAAGGTCAAAATGAATGTCAGAAGAGACAAACTTGCTCTCCAGCATAGAGATGCTAAAGTAAGTGGAAGAAATGACGTCAAAGAGCTGAACAGAAAATTTCAAAGATCAGCTTGAGAAGATAAAGCCAAATATTACAACAACAAAATATGCAAAGATCTGGAATCAGAAAACCAAAAAGGAAGAACACACTCAGCATTTCTCAAGCTGGAGGAACTGAAGAAAAAATTCATGCCTCGACTTTCGTTATTCAAAGATTCTCTGGGCAAATTATTGAAGGATGCAGAAAGCATCAAGAGAAGATGGAAGGAATACATAGAGTCACTGTACAAAAGGAAATGGTTAATGTTCAACCATTTCTAAAGGTAGCATATGATCAAGAGCCAATGATACTGAAGGAAGAAGTCCAAGTTACATTGAAGGAACTGGCAAAGAACAAGGCACCAAGAATTGATGGAATAAAAATTGAAATCTTTCAAGTAAGCGAGGCGACACAGGAGGCACTCACTCATTGATGACTAGAAATTTGGAAGACAACTATCTGGCCAACTGATTGGAAGAGACCCATATTTGTGTCCATTCCAAAGAGAGGTGACCCAACTGACTGCGGAAATCATCAGACAATTACCTTTGATAGCTCATGTGAGTAAAGTTTTATTAAATGTAATATAAAAATGGCTGCAAGCATACATTGACAGAGAACTTCCAGAGGTTCAAGCCGGATTCAGAAGAGGCTGTGGAACGAGTGATATCACTGCTGATGTCCGATGGATCTTGGCTGAAAGCAGAGAATATCAGAAAGATGTTTACCTGTGCAAAGGCTTTCAGCTATGTGGATCATGACAAGCTATGGACAACACTGCAAAGCCTGAGTGTTCCGGAACACTTAATTCTGCTCATGAGGAATCTGTACCTGGACCAAAAGGCAGTTGTTCAAACATAACATGGGAACACTGGACGGTTTAAAATTAAGAAAGGTGTAGGACAGCGTTGTATTCTTACACCATACTTATTCAACCTGTATGCTGAGCAAATAATCCAAGAAGTTGGGTTCTATGAAGCAAAACATGGCATCAGGATTGGAGGAAGACTCATTAACAACCTGCAATCTGTAGATGACACAACCTTGTTTGCTGAAAGTGAAGAGGACTTAAAATATTTACTGATGAAGATCAAAGACACAGCCTTCGGTAAGGATTGCATCTCAATGTAAAGAAAACAAAAATCCTCACCACAAGACCAATAAACAACATTCTTATCAACGGAGAAAAGATTGAAGTTGTCAAGGACTTCATCTTCTTGGATCAACTATATCAACACTCATGGAAACAGCAGTCAAGAGATCAACCGATGTATTGCTTTAGGAAAATCTGCTGCACAACACCTTTTTAAAGTGTTGAAGAGCAAAGATGTCAGATTGAGGACTAAGGTGCGCCTGAGCCAAGCCATGGTATTTTCAAGAACCTCATAGGCATGTGAAAGTTGGACAGTAAGTAAAGAAGAATTGGTGCTTTTGAGTTACGGTGTTGGAGGAGAATATTGAAAAGTGCCATGGGCTCCCAAAAGATCCCACAGATCTGTGTTGGAAAAAGTATAGAGTGCTCCTTGGAGGCCAGGATGGCCAAATTTCGTCTCTCATACTTCGGACACATTGTCAGGATGGACCAGTCACTGGAGAAGGATATCATGTTTGGTAAGGTGGAGGGTCAGAGAAAAAGAGGAAGACCCCCAGCGAGATGGATTGGCCAAGTGGCAACATCAATGGCCTCAAGTGTGACAACAATTGTGAGGTTGGCCCAGGATCGGGCAATTGGGCAGTGTTTCGTTCTGCTGTGCATAAGGTTGCTATGAGTTAGCACAGACTCGATGGCACCTCACAACAACACCTGTCAATGCACTGCTGCAACCATTGATAAATTATCTTTAGCAAAATTTTACTTGCATGTGTTATATTGTTTGATGATTTTCGTATTCTCTTAAGTCACTTTTATTTTGAGAGCGCCTCCAGTGCTGAAACAGTTTTTTGAAACATTGCAATTTGTATTCCATCAATTCATGGAGCCTTATTCTTCGCCATAGCCTTCAGTGCTGCTTAGACTTCGTCTTTCAATTCTATCAGTTCTTGATCATGAGACCTCTTAAAAAGAAATGATTTAACATTGACCAATTCTTTTTGGTAAAGTGACTTTGTGTATTCTTTCCATCTTCTTTTGATGTTTCTAGAGTCTTGCCCATGTAATATCTTTGATGTTTCTAATATCTTGCCCATATAATCTGTCAATATTGTAAGTTGAGGCTTGAATTTTTTCTTCAGTTCTTTCAGCTTGAGAAATGCTGAACATATTCTTCCCACTTGGTTTTCTAAGTCCAGGCACATTTCATTATAATATTTGTCTCTGTCTTCTTGAGCTGCCCTTTGAAATTTTCTGTTTAGCACTTTTACATCATCATTTCTCCCAGTCACTTTAACCAAACTTGCTCGGGAGCAAGTTTCAGAATCTATTTTGACATCCATTTTTGTCTTTTAAAATACCTTTCACTTTCTTCATGTATGATGTTCTTGATGTTATCCCACAACTCCCTGGTTTTCAGACATTAATGTCAAATGCATAAAATCTGTTCTTGAGATGGTATCTAAGTTCAGGTGGGATATAATTCAAGGTCATATTTTGGGTCTCGTGAAGTTGTTCTAATTTTCTTTAGCTTCAATCTGAATTTGATTATGAGCAAGTGATGATGTGTTCCACATTCTGCCCCTGGCTTTTATTGGCTGATGACATGGAGCCTCTCCATCATCTCTTCCCACAGATGTAGTCAATTTGATTCCTGTGTATTCCATCTGGTGAGGTTCATGTGTCATAGTCTTACCTTTTACATTGTTGAAAAAAAAAAAATGCAATGAATAAGTCATTAGTCTGGCAAAATTCTATCATGCAAGCTTCAAGATCATTTCTATCAACAAGGCCATATTTTCCAACTATTGATCCATCCTCTTTATTTCCATATTTCACATTCAAATCTCCAGTAATTATCACTGCATCTTGACTGCATGTTTGATCAACTTCAGACTGGAGAAGTTAGAATTCTTAGGTTTCACCTTCATTGGCTTTAGTGTTTGGTGCGTAAATTTGAATAATAGTATTATGACTGGTCTTCTTGTGGCGTGTGAATCTTATCCTATCACACACAACATTGTACTTCAAATGGCATGTTCTTTCTGATGATGACATTCCTCTTTCATTTGTTGTTCCTGGCATAGTAAACCAAATGATTGTCTAATTCAAAATAGCAAATACCAGTTAATCTGAGGCCACTGATGCCTAGGATATCAATCTTTTTGCATTCCTTTCCATTTTTGACAACTTACAATTTTCCTATATTCATACTTTGCACATTCTACATTGATTATTAATGACTGTGTGCAGTTGTTTCTTTTCATTTTGAGTTGTGCCTCATCGGCAAATGAAAGTCCCGGAAGCTTAACTCCCATCCATGTCATGAAGGTCATCCCTACTTTGAGGAGACAGTCAGTCAGCTAGCTCTTCCTCACTTGTATTTTGAGTGTCTTCCAACTTGAGAGGCTCATCTTCCAGAACTGTATCTGGCAATGTTTCACTGCTATCCATAATATCCATAAGGCTTTCAGTGGCTAAATGTTCTGAAGTAGTCTGTCTCTCCTTCTTCTTAGTTTGTCTTAGTCTAGAAGCTCTGCTAAAACCTGTCCACCATGGGTAAGCATGCTATTCTTTACAATACCAGTGGCATAGCTTCCAGGATCACAACAACACAGAAGCCACCAAAGTATGACAAAGTGACAGATAAGTAGTTAAACAGAGCAAGTATAAATTCTTAGTACAAGCAAACAGTATACAAGGGCAAGGTAGGAAAACAAATACCATTTAAAAGTTCCTGCACAAGTTCAATAGCAGATTTCACTTCTAGAGGCTCAGGCCACTCAGATACACCAGTCCTCAAACCATCAGCCAAGACCTATTGGAGATTAAAACAAACAAACAAACAAACAACAATGTTAGCAGAAAACAAAGTTGAATCAATAGGATACATTTAATAATATTAACTGTAGTAATATTTCCTGTTTATCACATGCCAGGAACTATGCATATATGTTTATACGTAGTACGTTATATAATCTTCACTGTGAGAAATAATTCTCAAGCTGGCCCATCTTCAGGTATATGGAAACAAAGGTCCAGGAAGGTACTAATTGAGATTGGTGGCGGATATAGGCTGATACAGCAACAGGAGCCCGTTCACCTGGGGTGTGTGTGAACAAGATAAATTGAGGCGGGGAGAGGGGGGAAATCTGTTTGAGAAATAGAAACTTTAAAATAAGAACACATTGATGTCCAAAGATTGTTCACTCTATAGTATTCAGTCAATGAGGAACTCGGAGAGGGACTTTTCGAACTAGGAGATAAGAACACTTGTAAAACAGCCAAACAGTGCATCTGCCCATCTTGTCTACTGCGTTTGGCGCCCAATTTTGCAAAATCAAATAAAGCCTCACTCTTGCTAACACGAGTACAGATTGGATTTCTTGAGCATTTGTTGGTAAGCACTTGTGATAATTTATCAGTGACCTCATACAGGATAAGGTGATCCACCCCAGTTCTCCCTCCAGAGACCCATAGGGTTAAGGTCCTAGTTGGGGGTTTATACCAACCAGCCAGTTACCAATAGGAACCAAAGCATTATGTAGGGTATCGACAACAATTCTCACACTAACACCCAATGAGACAGATATTACTATTATCCCCATTTTACTGAGACTAAGTAACATGTCCAAGGACACAAATTAGTACCAGAGTGCCAGGGTCTGATTCTGATGAGAATGCTATGTGCACAGGGGGTACAAAGGATCCTAGACTGATGAGTCCAAGTCCACACTGAAAACACTTGCAATTTTAGTCAAAGGGTGACAATACAGATTAAGTCATTGGGAACTACCAATGTGAAACTGAATGGAACATTAAGATAAGATCAAGATAGGCTGTAATAGGTAGGGAATAATGTCAAACTTCAGCTGCAACTCAAAAGTAGGAAGGTCTGATTAGAGAGTGGAGAAGAAGCATGGAATGGATGAAGAGGATGGGATGATCCCAAATAAGGTAGAGTTAAAAAAAACCCAGAGAGAAACCATGCTAAAAATTGAATTGTGTTCCCCCCCCCGCCCTCATTCCTGACCAATGTGTGTTTATATCCTAACTGGTGTCTGTAAATATGACCCTCTTAGGAAGCAGGGTTTCTTTTGTTTTGTTAATATAGTCATATGAGTATAAGGTATGTCCTAAACCTGGTGTGGTGCTGTGGGCTAATGCATTAGACTACAAAATCATTTGAACTGTAAGGTCAGTGGTTCAAGCTCACCAGCTGCTCCTTGGAAACCCCATACAGGGTCGCTATGGGTCACAATTGAATCAACGGCACTTAACAACAACAACAAACTTGTTTACTTCTGATAACAAGAAGAGCAGAACAGACAGACCCAAACACAGGTCTAGAGGAAGATGAACTTCCCAGGGCTACAAACAAGGACAGACCTGCCCTTAAAGCCAGGGCATTGACTTAGATTTCTAGCCTCCAAAATGGAAATAAAATTCTGTTCTTTCAAAGTTACCCACTTGTGTTAGATTTTGTTAAGGTTGTTGTTGTTAAGTGCCGTCGAGTCAGTTCTGACCCATAGGGACTCTGTATAGGGTTTCCAAGGAGCAGCTGGTGAGCTTGAACCACCGACCTTGCAGTTCAAATGACTTTGCAATCTGGTGCATTAACCCACAGTGCCACAAGGTAACACTAGGTAACTATGAAGTTTTGGTGTGGTGCTCTAGGCTAAGCACTGGACTGCTAACTACAATGTCAGTAGTTCAACTCCATCAGCTGCTCCTTGGAAAAACCCATACAGGATCGCTGTAAGTTGGAACTGACTCAATGGCACTTAACAACAAGATAAGTAAGAAAAATAGAAATAGGATTAAAAGGAAAAGGGGTTAGTCTATTAAGAGACTTTAACATTGAAAGAGGGTTTTGGTTTCATATGGAGACAACAATCACTTTGGATTTTTGGCAGATGAAGGAAATTATAAAGCAGTTAGGAATTCCTGTTACAGGTCTCCAGGATGAATTCCAAGGAAGAGAAAGTATGCTTATTTCTCAATAGGAAATGATACAGCCCCCAATCCCAGGGGATCTCAATAGGAAATGATATAGCCCCCAATCCCAGGAAAGTATGGAGATAATTTTTGGTGTCACAAACACTAGGGTGGATGGATACTTCCGGTGTTCAGTTTGGTGGAGGCTAAGAATCTTGCAGTGTATATGATGGTTCCCAACCACAAATAAAGATCCTGCCCAAATGCCCTGTTGAGAAACAATTAAGATCACTGGTGGTTGCAGTCAAATGAATTACTTAATATGGCCCTTTAAGCCACGTCTAATCTTGTAACTTATACAAAATGAATAGGTGGAAATATACAAATAAAATGCATGTGTCCCACCAAGAGAACTGAATAGCTTGTTAACAAAGCAAATAAGGTGCATGGCATGCTTGTGGAGGTGGAATCATGCAAATAGGTGTATGAAACCCTAACAAGGGGATTGGTTAGTTTTGCCATCCTTCTAGGCTTAAAAAGAAAGCCAATCTCAGAGCAAAGGGATGATCTCACTACCATCAAAAAGAAAAAGAGCCGGAAGTTGAGTGGGTCCTTTGGACCTAGGGTCCCTACATGGAAAACCTCTTAGGCTCAGGAGAGACACAGAGCTGTAACATCAGAGATGGTAGGAGGTGGTGGCAAGCACAGTGAAGAAATGACAGCAGCAGAACCAGGATATTAGCAGGAGATGATGCAGTAGACTTCTCAGCTCATGCAGCAAGGTAGCTACACTGGGCATACCGACCAGAGTAAGAGAGCTGAGTGCCTTCAGATGCCTTCCTGGACAGTGGGGAGCCTCTGAGTACTTATTGGCAGGGCTAAAAGAGGTTTTAACACTTGCTTGAGCAGGGTAGAGGCTGGACTAAGGGCTGAGAGAGGAGACCAGTTCAGAGAGGCCTAACAGGAACCTATCCTCTGGTGACTGGTAACATGAGGGCCCAAGTTCAAGCATGGCCAGGCAGCAGAGGCTTGCTCACAAGCCTGGAGAAGAGACTGTCCTGGTCAAAGAAGTGAATATCCCAAGCCATTCTTGATTGTGAATTGTAACCTGTTACTTCCCTAATACACTCTGTGAGTGTAAGTATGGTCTGTGAGTTCTCAGTGGTTGTCAGGGGTTGAGGAGTGGGACAGGCAGGAGTGACTACCAATGAGTATCAGGGTTTTTTTTTGGAGTGATGAAAATGTTCTAAAAATAACTGTGGTGATGCTTATACAATTCTGTAAGTATACTAAAATCCATTATAGACTTAAAACCAGGTGAATTTTATGGGATATAATTTGTATTTCAACAGTTGTTTGAAAAAAAAGGAAAGACAGAAATGTGGGGGCCAGAGCTAGACCATACTGGCTTGCTTTAGCAGGCGCTAAGACATTGGGATTTCTAGATGAAAACTCTCGGGAGATGCAATCTGTGGAGTAAGCTATGCTTACGGAAACATAAGATCATGAAAACCACGCTCATTAATCTTTAGCTTCAATCAAAATCCCAGTTATTGACAAGCAGCTTATATTATATATACACTTGGAACAAACTGACAGCTGACCCACTTGGAAAGAGGGGACTCCATCATTATGAATAAAAATCAAATACTAAAGTAGAAAAGACAGACAACTGTCGAATGCACCCTTTAACTGTAAGACAATTACCACATACTAAAATTAAAGTGTCCAAATTGTCAATATTATCTAATATATAAAACTTAGAACAAAATTTGAAAAACATTAATACTAAATAATAATATTAGCAAACATCTTTATGACAACTAAAAATTCCACAAGGATACTTACAAGAAGAAATTTCAGTTGTCTGTGAAGATTATTCAAAGGACTTCTTGACTCTCCAGATTCCACTTTAATATTCTAAAAAGGTCCCAAAGCATGTCAGTTTTTACTGGTAATCCCATCTTCTATACATAAAGATTTCAGTTATTTTATCACACATTAAAAAATATACTTCATAAGGTACAAATGAATTGAAAAAATTAGAGCAACACTTCATTTTAAACAACTTACCCAGTGACACTGTATGTCTCACCCCATCCTGACCGTGTAGTCCCCTAAATTCAGCCCACCATACCCTCTCAATAACATACAAAATTATACCTACACAGACCTACTGCTCTCCTTACAAACTCTCCTGTCCTTTACCATTGAATTCCAATGAGGATACAGTAGAAAACAGAAATAAATGCTTCTCAAGACACTGATAAATTTAGCATTATCACTAAAAATAAAATCCCCCAAATAAATCAATTTATTAGACACCTTCCAACTAAACCCACACAGCCAGAGGTCCAGGTTATAGAAACCTAACGCCTTTAAAAAAACACACACAAAAAACAAAAAAGGAGGCAAAAATTTCAAAGTATGAAAATTCCTACTCTAAGGAGCTCTGGAAGCGTAGTGGTTATGAATCGGGCTGCTAATCTCACAGTCAGTAGTTTCAAACTACCAGCTGTTCTACGGGAGAGAGATGAGGCTTCCTGTTCCCATAAAGATTTAAAGCCTCAGAAACCCTATGCAGGGTTGCTATGAATGAGAACCGACTCCACGGCACATAACAACAACAACAGGGGACTAGCATCATAAAGAATATAATATTCCATAATCCTACTTCCCTGAAGGAACCACTATTAACACAGTAGCATACTTCTATACAGTGCTGTCAAGTTGATTCCAACTCATAGCGGCACTATATAGTTTCCAAGGAGTGGCTGATGGGATTCCTGGTGTGGTACTATAGAACAGCAACAGACTGCAAATCATAAGGTCTGCAGTTCAAACCTACCAACAGCTCCTTGGAAACACTATACAGGCCACTATAAGTTGGAACTGACTCAGCACTTAACTCAGTATGTCCATGACTGTATGTTAGATACACCTATATGTATACATATATTCTTAAAAAAACATAGTTGAGTTTCATTACGTAAACATTTTACATTTTTTTCTTTTTTGTTTAATAAGCATTTCCTATTATTTAAGCCTCTTTAAAACATAGTCGTTTTTTTTAATAAATGTTTTATTGTGAATTATATTTTACATGGGAGAACATTAGTTTTACATTCATTCTATTGTATATCGTTTCATTGCCACGGTTACAATCCCCTTCATGCATCATCAACCACCCAAAGGGTATACCCTGCAAGCCTGCTCCCCTCTCCCTGGTCATCAACACACAGCACCTCTCTAACTCCATCTCAAGTTCCCAGCTACTCCATCTCTGCACATCACCGTCTCTGCCTCCATCTCAGGCATCACTGCTTCTCTGGGTAGGGTAGCGCTCTCCCCTCTTCTCCACTGATGGTCCTAGGGACTTCCACTCCTAGATTGAAAAGTTAATCACTCCCCTCCTTGCTATAAAACGTCTACCTTTACATTTTCAACCCTCACAATCAATCCTGATAATAATTATTCACTATTGTATGACATTTCATTTCATCAGCTCTGCCTAGACAGATTGGATACTACACAGTGGAGATTCTATCTCCTCCACACCCTCTGGATCTAGGTTCTCTCTTGAAAGCTTGTAAACCAGTCACTTCATGCCTTTGCAGCGCCCCTCCCGCCGCCCTCCCCCCACCCCGCCCCATTTTAGGTAGTCAGTGTCCAAGTTGCCTATCCCAGTCTACTCTGTGTGTGGAGGGGGTGGGAATGATTTTTGCAGTAAGGATTTGTTTCCTCTTTTTAGCTACTGCATCCAAAGGTGTACGTCAAGTTCATCAAATTGTATCAGATTATACTTTTTATCCTCTTCTTTCTTCTTCTGGTTGAGCTCTGATCATCCAGTCATTGAAGTCAGGTCAAGTGGGTATTATCAGTAAGTGTGGGTGTTCTTGTGCATATCCCCTCTTGTTATCAGCTGGACTCTTCACTCTCCACTCTAGTCCTCTGTGGCTGTGTCACTGACCTTGAACCCAAGAATCTCCAGGTCTTGCCACACTGCTGGCCGATCAGGTCTCCACCCGGGTTCACATGAGTCTATTGAACATTGTAGGGCTTATCTTGCCACTTCATTGCTGTTTTTCCCTCACTTCCCCTTATGGGTGACAAGCATGGTCACCAATCAGAGCGTGTATTCCCATTGAGTCTTAGTCTTGGGAGAGGGTCTGCACTGAGGGGACCTGACCACTTGCCTTGATGTCTCCTGGGCAAGCAACTTGCTTCTTCTTGTAGTAACAGTCAGTCTGTCTCTATTGTTTTGTATTTTTCCTGTAAGTCTTTCTTTTAAGAAGTATCTTCTGTTCTTCTATTTGCTCCAGGCTGGTCTACTCATCCTTTCAAGTGGAAATTTCCCATCTCTGAAGATCTGGATGTGGTTCAGGCTTCCACCTAAAGTCTTAGGTAATGCAGAGGCTCCGCAGGAAGCCTCCTTCACTGGGCACCTTGTAGCCCCATTTTAGGTATTACAATCAGTTACAGGCAGAAGACGGACTTACAGACTTTCTATGGTGATGTTTCTAGCTATTCCTTTCTCTTCCCCTTCAGTGTCTATTTTATAATATAATGCAAGGAAAACCAAGATTCAAAACACAGCCAAGCTTCTTAACATTAGTCCCCCCTTTTCCCCATTCCAACCATGTCTCAATCTCTGTATCCCAGAGCCCTGTTGTTCCAAGGTTGTGTATACATCATTATTTACCTCTGTCCCATTTAGCCCATTCAAACCTGCCTAATTATTCTCCCATCTGCTTTGTTCTTGCATTCCTCTCTCCCTTCTTATATATTGCCCCCCTCCCCAGCACCCAAACTATCCTGTATCTAGTCCCTGACCTGTGCTCCACCTTCCCCTCCCTCCCCTCACCCCACCCCTACATCCCAGGACCCAGCAAAGAATCCACTTTAGTGGATTAGTATGGGTTCTTTTCTTAGTCTTTTACAGTAGTGGTCCTATGCAGTATTTCTCCTTTTGTGACTAATTTCACTCAACATAATATCCTTAAGGTTCATCCATGTTAGGTGGTGGCATGCAGCTTCCTTGCTATTTTTCAAGGTAGCATAACATTCCATTGTGTGTACGTACCACAGTTTATCTATTCTTCAGTTGATGGGCACTTTGGCTGTCTCCATCTTTTTGCTATTGTCATTAGGGCAGCTATGAACATTGGTGTGCATATATCTTCTCGTGTTGTGGCTC